TGCTGACTCTGTTATGCTTACTGTCCTGCAAGAGGATATCGGACGTGCGAGCCTTGGACTGGGACGCATTATCATTCACCCCAGAGGGAGTGTCATTCTCCATATCGAGACGAACTAAAGGCAATACAAAATCTATCTCTTACCCGAGATACCCGGGACATCCCTAACTTTGTCCGGTCAGATGCCTTCGGTCCTACCTGGATCGTACTCAGAAGTTACGCTCACCTGCATCAAGTCAATTATTTATATCCTTTCGAACCCCTTTTCTACCAGTGTCCACGCCCACGTTAGCTCGTTGGGTCAAGAACCTGTTAGCATTAACAGGAATTGACACTTCGAAATTCTCTGCACATTCGGTGAGAGGCGCGATGGCATCCAAGGCGTCAACGATTGGTTGTCGCCTCGAGGACATATTAAAGGCCGCTGATTGGTCACAAGTATCGACGTTCAGAGAATTCTATTTTCGGCCAATTGAACATATCTCTCTTCAGGTAGTGGCCAAGCTTTGAACTAGCATAATATAAGCCTCCGTGTCATTAATAAAATTCCAAGATTTTACTAGTAACATGACGTAAAGTCATGATTTTATTAATGACACGGAGGCGAGTATTATCCCCACCCACCCACCCGGTGGGCATGAGACAGTCTATAAGGAGAGTCTTAAGACTCTCGCAAAGGTAAGTAACAAGGAATTTCAAGGGCATGTACACCATCCTTTATGTACACACATAACTTGTTTTATCAGTTGGTTATATCGATTGTAAGGAACATAAGGAATAAGGATAACATACAGTTCCAAAGTTTGGATTTTATCGTACATTCTCTTTGTTTCCACAGCGTAACGTACTGGACACAGACTGGGTGGAATATCGGAAGTTATGGAAAGTTACGACGGCTTTTCGTCGACACAGACAAGAAAGAGGAAGTTAGAAGACTGTTCAAGACACTTAATGTTGATAAATGTATACGATTGGCTGCCCTGTTACTAGGCAGATTACTTATGTTATTTCGTTTTTATTCTCTTTCAAGTTAAATTCTTGCTGCTGAGGAGAATAATAAAAGAAAGAGAAAGCATAATACTCGCCTCCGTGTCATTAATAAAATCATGACTTTACGTCATGTTACTAGTAAAATCTTGGAATTTTGTAAGGGATAAAGTCTGGAATATCCCGAAAGGAATCTGCGTTCATTATTATGAGAGGTGATTGTTTTTATACATTTGTCTTATAGAGGTGTGGGTTTTACACACTCTGTTTCCTGTCTGTCACATATTGCTCCTGAATGTAGTCAGGTGTCCCACAGTAATTCACTATCCAGTCGTTTTTCTGTTGTTAGAAGTAGGTTCTAACACACCACACAGCATTCTTAGCACCCCAGCTCTATTCTTTGTACTAGGTGTCCCGCTGTTATCTGATAAGACATTAGGCCCCTTGACAAAATTGGTAAACCTGGGTGTGACGAGAGCAATCTTGCCACATTGCATTGGAGAAGCCTGGTTGCTCGCCTGCTGCCTTTGGACTATGGCCCCCATGTTAAAAGACATCTTTTTCACTGCAGAAAAGACTTATTCGTGCTTTTCTGCCCGGTGTTCGGTAGATTCTCGGATTTACTGAATGAACTCATATAACCCAGATAGGTATGCCATGGAGCCTATTCAAGTAATAAAAGACTTTGGCTCCGTGGCAATTGAACTGTATGTGTTTGTGGTCTGAGCGCCATTCAGTATTAATGTGCGCTCAGACCTAAGCTATCTGGGCATATGTTGCATGTCTGTATTTTATGTCATAAATGTAACCTTGTGTATTTTATTGTATTTTACTGTCTTTTTGCTGCCATGTGTTCAGTGGAGTTTTGCCTCTGTCTTTGGAGATAATTGGATTACTTCACAATTATCTCCAGGATAGAAGACTCTGTGGAACTGGTTTTGGGCAGAAAAGCCATGCTTCCTGTGGTCACAAAGGACTACGATCTATCTTTTGAACCACTGGACCAATTTGTATGATTTTGACGTATGTTTGTATTTGGAGTATGCTGATTCTGAAAATGTAAATGAATGTGATGCATACTTTTCAAGTTATGAATAATGTGGAAAAATTGTATTTCTCTGCTTGTGCTAAATTGCATTACCCATTGTGTAAGGTAATTGAATCACATGCAGAGGGGAGGAATTTGTGTGGGAGTGTCTTGTATGTGTTTATTGGTTGTGTTCCAAAACCCTGTGGGTGGTACTAATGTGTAAGAATGTGTACATAGGCACAATAAACCCACAGCTCTGTCTGTTCACTGCTTGACCCTCAACACAGAGCTTTGTCTCGTTCTTGGGGGGATTTATTGTATGCTGTTCCAGTTCGACTGCTAGGAGTGTAAACCTATTCGTATGTTTTTTCCTATTCGGCTGTTTACAGCATTCGTATGGTTTCCTGTTGGGCTGATTGGTATTCTGCAGTAGTTGTGCCTGCATCTCTGGAAGGGGATGATCGCCTAAACGTTTTTAACCCCTTGTGTGCTGAAATGGTCGGTTACACTGGGTATCTCACTAGATACTGTGTTGAAGCAGGCATGCCTCCCTGCTTTGCATCAGGAAAGAGTTGGATCAATTCCTTCGGAGTGATTCATGTATGCGGAGGGATCTTCAGTCCTTGCTGGGATCCCTTAATTTCACAATATGGATCATTTCACAGGGTAGATCATTCATCTCTAGATTACTCTGTGTGCTTGACATCTATGAAGATTTTATAATTCACAAATGAGTACAATCCCCATCACATCTGGGAAGATTTTATAATTCCTAAATGTTT